ATTCTGCTCATCACAGCATGAGCGCTGTGACATGGAGTGGCCCAGCATCATATGGGATATCATGGAGAAACAATGTTAGACCTCAGATCTCCCAAATTCTAGGCAGGCACCTTATTGCATATCTCCCCCTGAAAAGAACCACCTTACTTTTCCATCCAGTACACTGAAAGATGCAGGGGTTTTCTGTAATAAGCCATAGGTAGTTGTTGCAGTGCATGAGAACACACACACACCTTTACCTACATTCATTTGGATGCAGCATATACCTCTTTATATATGTGCACATAAGTCTAAATGTAATATGAACAGCAGCAAATCCATTGAAAACAAAACCACTATTCTGTATACATCTACAATATTATTAAAAATACCGAATTAATAAATACATGTTCTTGACAGATGAATTTAGAAACCATCAATTAAGCTTGGCATTCATTAGGTGGGGAGAAGTCCAATCAGATTTCACTGACTCAACAAAGCTGCCTATAAATTGTGGGCTTTTTGTTCTGACGTTTGATGAATTATTCTTCATAATCCACTGTCTACTGCGATAAATCTAATCTTTCAGTTTTTGCTGTCTTAATAATTCTTAGAGCAACACTGTGACATTTTGTTTTCGTAAAGGGGATAGAAAGACTGGGACAATGGAAAAAAACCCTCACTTGCTGTCTGGGAAGTATATTACTCTATACCAAGGTAATATTTTTCTCACACCTAGAACTCTGGTTTTGCAGACTTGGAGGGATCAGTGAGACCTTAGCAACATAGGCCGTTATGTGTCTCTTGTTGAAAAGATGACCAGCTTAGGATGTGGTTCACATTCCTTAAACCAGGAAGGTCATTCAGATTTCTGAGAGCAATAGCGTGCTAGTTTTGGTAAAGCGAATTCCAAAAGTTAAGAATGCCTTCTGTTATTAGTGATCCTGCATCTCACTGCTCCCTAAATCTGTCCTGAACAAACTGCTGACACATGGGCAACATTCATCACAGTGGCAGAGCAGAGCCACCTCATCTCATGTAGAAGATACTGTATAGTGTTGGGCTGGAGAAGGGCTCCATGACTTAGGCTCCTGCTCCAGAGCATCGTGCTAGCAGCCTTTCTGGAGCGGGAAGAGAGCATACCTCTGTGTGAAGTGGGCAAGTTGAAACCAGGCAGTAATATGCCATCATTTGCTGCAGCACATGGATATAAAAAGGTTTGGATTAAGAGGCAATATATTTCAAAAGAAATTAGCTAGCAAGACATGCACATTTAACTTTTATGGGTTAGAGATTAAGATATCAGGCTGGAACTTGGGATATCCGAATTAAATCCCAGCTCTGTCAGACTTCTCAGAACATGCTAGGCAGGTCGTGTAAGGTAATACTTTCAGAAAGGACTCAGGATTTGGAAGTTTAAATCCAATTGATTTCCAGTATCTTCCTAAGTGTTTAAGGGTAGGATTCACAAAAAATACTGAGGCATCCTGATGCCCAGCATTGTGGCATTGGGTAGTATGTGCTGCAGACCACGGGAAGAACAGCTGTGCTTTGAGAAAGCACTTCAGCATGTGAGGAAGCCTGTAGCTGACATCTGGGAACTCCTAGAAAGCGTGAGTTTGTGCAGGGCCTGTTGTGACTGTGCACCTCATACCATGGCCCTCTGGGCTTAATGTGGTCTCTAGCTGCAACCTCAGCATGAATATGTACTAGTAAATGTGTAAGTAGATAGATCCTGTTAGAGCTTTTATATCAGTTCCTTGAGGTGTGAATACTAATACCAACAATCATGCATATTTTGCGTATTTAAAATTAAATGAGCTTCATTCTTTAGAATTAAACAGTAAGGGCTGTGTTTCCAGCAAATGAAGTACAGTGCACATTCATTTGCTGGTGCAGCACATGCATGATGGGGACCTGTGCAGAAGGAGCGAGGGAAACCATTGTGTGCAGGGACACCACTCACCTGTACAGCTGTAAACCTGCAGCTGGCTGTCCTATTCCTTTAAAACAGAAGCCCTAAAGTTCCTTTTAAACCTTTATTAAACCTGTCAGGAAACTATGCTTGTTTCATCTCCTGCCAGGATTACAGATGGTAACAGTGAGTTTGATGAGGCCATTTGAGACCAGCTGTAGCCTGGAAAAGACTTGAGAGTTCCTTAAGTCAGGTGGACTCCAAGAGTGTCCCAGACCTTTGTTTGCTAATTATCCATCCTGGAAATGACAGGTTTTTTTAAGGGTGCTTGTCAGCAGTAAGGGTCTGCAGCCTGTTCCAAGAATTCCCTGCTTGCATGAAATGGGTGCGGCCACCTTCCCTGGGGAAGAGCCCACTCCCTGGCAGGCAGTGTGGTTATCAGGCTCACCTCTTCTCTGCTTCCATATCATACCGCCTCTTGCTCGCTTTTGCCTGTCTGGGACACACAGCCTGCAGCAGAGGCATTAGCTACCTCCAGTGAGCTGAGAAAAGACAATTCCATAATGAATGAGGGTCATTTGCTAAGTGGGGGGTCCTGGACCCCTGCCATAATTGTGCTTCTGCTTTATCTCAGCCTCACACCTGCTCACGTAATGGCTCAGCTGTGATCTGCTCCCTCCCCCTGTGTATGCTCTGCCCTTCTTCCCCTGGGGTATCCATCAATTCTGTAGCCCTGTTGCAATCCCTCGTCTTGCTGTCCTTGTCTGCAGCCTGTGAATATGCACAGATTTGCCCTGGAATTGTGGGAGGGCCACTGGGTTGGCTCTACTGGACATCACTCTTAACCTGACTTCCATGTCCTAAGTAGCAGGTTCTAAAATGAAACTCTTCTATCCCAAATAACTCCTAGATTCAGCTTTCTCCCATTATGTTTCTTTAGAAAACTTAGTCACATGATAATGAGGTATGTATTATTCCTGCCAGAGGGAACATGTGCATCTTTTCTTTCCCCTGCATGCATTCAGTACTGGTGAATATGGCTGGATTGACAGTGTAAGCAATTAAGAGGTTTTGAAATCCAGAGCAGATGGAATTTTATCCAATTTATATATGATCTTACTATAAATGTACCTTACTGGATTCAAGCCAGTGAACTCCCAGATCTGTGTTTTAACCTTTGGAGGATGTTACCCAGCCTGTTGACAATTAGAGTGGTAACCACTTCGTAAAAAGGTACATCCCTCTGATACAAGGATATAGGGTAGTGAGAGAATTGAAGAAAGCCCCAGCTTGACCTCATGTAGCAAGTTCTTTGTTTGCATTTTTTTCTTCCTTGTGGGATCTTACAGCCCAGCAGGCTCTTGGCTACCTTAAATCTTTACCCTTAACAGATCCTCTCTTCAGGCAATACATACACTTCACATAAAGGTAAAAGTCTCTGTGTCTTGAACACATTTTCTCTTGAGACACAAATGTCAATGGGTTTGAATTATGGACCTGCTGTAATTAAAAACCACATAACTAGTTGTTTTTAAATGCAGTTGTTTTACTTAATTGATTTTGCCGACAGGACCAAAGAGAATTAATTAAATAAATAAAATGCACCTTCCTAGTGAATTACTGGAGGCAGCTGAGTCTGTGTTGGTATCTAATTACTGCAAATGCTCCAGTTTGTTGCCAGCAGTAGTTTTCTGTGGAAGGAGCTGGGAGAGAAGGGGTAAGGTGGTGTGGGAGGGGGCTCATTCCTTGGCAGCTGCAGGAGGGAACAGGCTGCTCCTTGTAGTATTTTTCTTCTTTTTCAGCAGAAGAGTACTCGTTTATGGCTTTGCATGAAGACTTTGCTTAGAAGGTCTTTATTCATATTTAATTGCTAGGTTGCTGCAGCTCCCATCTTTAATTACCTTTTAAAGAGCAGGTTATAAAAATGCACTGACATTCTTTCTTTTTTGTTACTGCATAAATTACAGGCTTCTCAACTGCTCACTTGAAATCAGTTGAGCCCGCGAGAAGTGTAGGACAGGTTCCCTTTGCTGACTTCTGGAAACCTCAGAGCTTATGTTCACCTTGCTCTACAGAGCAAAAATCCTCAACTAGCATTACATGAACTATGCCTGAAGCATACCTGTGCTGGCCCTTCCTGTGAGCTGACTGACTGTGTGGAGGGGCCTGGCTTGTTAGCTAGGCTGAAATTGCACTGCCATGGTTGTAGTGTTTGCAGAGCCTGTGCTGCCTGGTGCTGACAAGAGGGTCTCTAGCAGGGTGCTTGGTTATGCAGGGCAGAGGCCTCTGCCCTCTCCCATTGCCTCACCTGTGTCTACTTTGGATTTTGCTTCCTGGGCCTGCTTCTGGTAAATCTATTTAATCTACATCTTTCGTTGTAGTCTAGTCCTGGATTTCTCAGCCAGAGCTTCTAATAATTTCTTCTCCTGCTCACCAAGTGCTTTTCTCTCTCTGACTGGCGCCTCTTTGAGTTGAGAGCACTGCTTACTTTTACAGAAGGTGTGACAAAGTCCATCACATTAAACAGGCCAAGCTGTCGAGGCTGAAACAGCAATTTTTGTCCCCCTGCCCTGAATGCTGCTCTTAACCACTGCTCCCAGTCATGTGCTGGCTTTCACCAAGTAAGCTAGCTGCTGCTGCTGTAATGCACAGGAATACACACTGCCAGGTTTCAGGGGTGGTGGTGGGTGGTATTAAATATCTGCAAAAGAAATATGTGCAAAGGAACAGCTGTTGACTTCTGCACCCAGGATGCTTACCATAATCATTCCCAGCTGTTGACTTCTGCACCCAGGATGCTTACCATAATCATTCCAAAACATTTTCAGGACAGCCCAAAGAAGTCTCTCTCATATTGCCTGGCCACTACAAGTCCAAGATGAAACATATTGCTGAGACTCTGTCACAGGTTTCCATGAGCAGAGTATCTCCAGGGCACTTGACTCAGAGGCCAAACAATGACAAGGCTAAGGGAGGGGACAGAAGAAGGATGAAAGGGCTGAGTCTGTCCAGCTTTGGCACAGGAACTCTCTGGCCTGTGGGCAGGACTTTCCTGAGAACAGCCTCTGTTACCCCAAGCTGATGCCTCTTTCTCTTCTTTCGGCAGATAAAAGAGCTCTTTATGAGTTTTGAGGACACTCCCCTGGGAGCAGCATCACTAGCCCAGGTACACAAAGCAGTGCTGCAGGATGGGAGAACGGTGGCAGTGAAAATCCAGCACCCCAAGGTCCAAGCTCAGAGCTCCAAGGATATTTTGCTCATGGAGGTAAAACTACTGGTTGACATCAACTTACAGAACAATTGCCACTGAAACGTATAAGAATATTCACCCATGGTGTAAGCAGGTATAACAACACCAATATGTGGCTTCGAAACTTCCACAGAGATCAATGCTGTCTTGCAGGATTAATACAGAAAATTGGTGAGGATTGCAGTGCTGGTGATTGTGTGGATGGAGACTGAACAAAAGGGTAAGAGGGAAGGAGGGCAGAAGGAGAAGACAGGTAAAGATAAATGACATCATAGTAAGTCCATATAAGATTTAAGAAATAGAGAGTCCTCAAGTCTCTTTACAGCCTGTGTGCCCCTTAACTGGTTTCAGTCCTCTTGTAGTCAGGGCTGTGTGGCCAAGGAAAATCACAGTCCATGATTAGCATGTTTTTTTTTTTGACTAAATTCTGTTGTGGATTCAACAGTGGATGAGGTTGCTATGATTCAGTTTTGTTTCTTGATCAGCTCTGTAATGCTGAACTGATTCATGGTAGAAACAAAAACACTAAAATATGGAGAGGTTCACCTAACAGGGGCAAATACACAAATGAGGAATTCACCTGGGGAAATGTTTCAATGTGTATAGAACAGGAAATGGACACAGGGCTGAGGTGGAGGAGATGGGAAGGATTAGGTCTGTAAGTAGAGCAAATATATCTATATATATATATCATATTATATGTATTATATATATTATATATATTATATATATTATATATATATGAGCAAATATATATATATACATATGTATACACACATATATATATAGACAGACACACACACATATATATATATTTGCGTGTCCATATATACGGTAAGTGCACATTAATTGGCAGATGGGTAGGTCCATGGTACTAAAGAAGTGAAGCTGAGGAATTCTGGTCAGTGTTTGGAGGGTATTGCTCATGCAGTAACACTTCTCCGTCACTGTGAAGAAGAAGATCAGAAATCAAAAGTTCTGCCAGCAACCTCTCAGAGTACCATGTAACTAAAGCTTCTCTAGGCAGTTAAAATACCCTGCTTTGAGCAGTCCTGGCTAGTCTGCATAGCAGCACAGCTGTTTCCAGCTGGGGAACATGAGTTTGCAGCTGAATATTTAATTTGAACTCATAGCGAAAGAAATTTTTGGGTTCCGAAGAGATGTCCCAGTAAGATAGGATCTGTCTGTTTCAGTGCTGGTTTGAAAACACAGAATTGTTTGAACTGGCTTTGGGTCCAGCTATAGATTTGAATTTGATTCAGATCTTCTCCAGGACTCACTGCAGTGATCTGCCCAATGAATTTGCTCCTGTGAGTCATCACATGCACAGCACTTCTCAGGCGGCTTATGACATCCTTCACTCCCTCCCAAAACAAGGTGGCAGAAAAAGAGCAGTCAAGGATTAAGGATGAGCAGGTAATGAAAGAGTATGGGATCAGGGCAATAAGAGGATTCTATGTGAATGACCCAAACCTGTGTTTACCTTGAGACATTTGCCCTTCTGATAGTGAATATCACAGAAACATATCTCCTCACACCATGTTGCTGTGATTGCTGATTATACTGGTAAGAGACATTTAAACAAATTATTTTAGAATGATTCCTGTCTTTTCTGGCTTTAAACTATTCCTCTTGGGAAACTTGAAGCTAAACCAATTTATTTTCTTTTGGTAGTTTAGTACTGTCTTTCTTGTACAGACAGTCTGGTTTACCATCCACATGTTGTATATAAATAGGTATTAGGCAAATAGCTCAGAATATGACACATGTGGTTTTCTTTATAAAAGGTCTCTCTTGTGGAGTCTTGGCTTACTTGTATCATCATATCCTTGTGTGGGACTGTTTTTGTGTAGACTGCATAGAAAGCTAGGTCACATGCTAATGTTCTGGTCCTTTAAGAATCAGACAGACATTGAAGCTAGGTAAAGAGGTTAATTTAAATATTGATGGAGATGGTCTCATTTAGAGACTGAAGGGAAAGAATCTGAACAAGAAAGGGAGAATTCATAAATTCACTTGAGATTTCGTAGCATCAGTTGCTGACTCTTTAAAAATCAGTACAGCATCTGATAAACCCAGAGAGAGATACCTCACTGCTCTCTATATATCAATAATTATTTCAAGACCATATGTCAGAAAAGGGGTAGGCAAAATACTTGTTAGGATGTTCCTGCTGATAGTCAAGTTGGCAATTTTTTTGAAAAAAGCATTTGAAGGAAGTGAAAAAAAATGCATTAATTTTGTCATGTCAGGTACCAATGAAATAATCTTGGAGATCCTCTGAAGTTTATGTTCGTGTTCATGAAGATCGCTGGTTACATTTCATTTGGGTGACATAAATTTGAAAGGATTTATGCCTCTAGATGTAGCAGTAAAAAGTACAATTCTGTAGTGTCTGGAACCTGGTGATTACATTTTTAAAGGAACATTGAGTTTGCAACTGACATTTAGATAAGAGAAGTTGAGACGGGGTGGAGAACAAACGTTGTCACACAACTGAACAGGAGCAGTGATGGTTCATAAATTTATTTTTGTCATACATTTCAATGATGGCAGCTTCCTGTGTGTACTTTAAATGTTCCTCCTGCAGTGCAGGAGTTTCCACCTCTATGGTGGAGATCAAGAAAGGGAAACTCTGCAATAATACACACTTAAAGGCCTGTTTCTGTTTCCAGATAAATGTGCAGAACAGGTGAAATGAAGACAGCAAAGTGCCATTTTTATGGTTTTTTTACTTGTTTTATGACTCAGTTAAAAACAGCTAAACAAATTTTTTACTTCAGGTGGAGAAACTGTCCCTTTGTTTGAACAGAAAGCATACTTGGCTGCTGTGCAGCTTTGATTATGCCATCCAATTGTGTAATGTTGATTCTCTCACCCTTAAATGTTGCTTCAATCAAATGTTTTTGGCTGAGATTTTCAAGATGCTGTGTCACTGAATATCTAATCCCTTTAAGAAGAAGAGCATTCCATGTGGTGGATATATGATATTTGGAAAATACTTCAGCCTTGTGAGGATGGCTTTGCCTGATGCTGAAGAGCAACTTGCTCTCTGACCCCCACCAGAAGTGTTACTTAAAGATGTGTATCCTACTAATTGTATCCAAACTCCACTGTCTTCTTTGAACTGCCCAGAGGATTTTCTCTGCTCAGCAGTGGAAGTAATAAAGAGGTGACAAGTCTTACTTTAGATCTTCCTCATCTACATTATCTGAGATCTGTTCAAATGAAGCCAAAGAGTGACTTGTAGAATTATAGGACTCAGAAGAAGGTGTTGCTCCAGGGCAACACCCTTGGTGAGATCTGGTCATGTGGTCTCTTCTCCAGAGCTTTGTTCTTGTCTAGGCAGCAGCCAGCTGGCCTCTTTTTGATGTGTGTGCCATCATTTAACTCCTAGGTGTGCCTTCCTCTGTGGAGGTACAGGCCAAAATTTGTCTTACATGACCAAGGCATGATACTGTGTTTTATTGTGATACTGCAGGAACTCTAAAAGCACTTAGTTTTTTTAATCTGGAAGTTTTATGGAATGATACTATCTAAACATCACTGTGTGTAGCTATGTGACTTTGGAGCCAGCATGCAACTAATTGTCTGTTTGCTTGTTTTCAGGTTCTCCTCTTGGTTGTGAAGCAGATTTTTCCAGATTTTGAGTTCATGTGGCTGGTGGAAGAAGCTAAGAAGAATCTGCCCTTAGAGCTGGATTTCCTCAATGAAGGCAGAAATGCTGAGAAGGTTGCTCATATGCTCAAAAACTTTGACTTCCTGAAGGTGAGGAAACACATATTTCTGTCTGTATATGTGCATGAATAGTCTCCTTTACTATGTCTTATTCCCATCATTCACCAAATGGAGGAGCCAGGGAGGGAGAATGGAGTTCAGCCCCTCTGTGTTGTTCATTCTAGACTGCTCTGCTGATACAGACCAGAAAATTCTCCGAGACATGCCTTCTTCTTGTCTGTTTCCTACTGAATGCACTCTGTTGGGTCAGGAGTGGTGGCTTGGGACCAGTTGTCTTTGGAGCTTGCTACTCATTTTCTCAAGTTTTCTTTCTGAATTTCATTTTCAATTTCTTTCTGAACTTGTTCAGAGACTATGGATTTGCCATCCTTTACTGAACCTGAATTTGATGGTACCTTTCCTTGGGCTCTGTCTCAGCTGAGGGTAAGAAATGGATGCAGAACAGAAAAGCTAGACTGAAACTGGTGATGTCAACTAGTATTGTGGACACCTTGTATCTCAGGAAGAAGCATATTCACATGAGTCCTTCCTACTGCAAAAAAGCACATTCTCACTCCAGAACTGGACATTTACCCTTCGTACACATCTGTGGCTAATTCATGTTACCTTCATACAGAAATCAAATTGCACCCATGTTTGGTCTTCCCCTCTGATACTTTTATCCCACCTCCCCTGCCACACACTTATGTCACTGATAAATGTCTGAAATACAACCAGACACGTACACATCTCGTTCTTGGAAAGACATATGCTCACATCTTCAAAGTCACACGTTCAGAAATCTTTTGCTGAGGTACAAGAGACACAAGCCTCCAGTGTGTGCTTTCTGGAAACACACATAGTGCCATGTTACTGTGCCCATGGCACGTACAGAAAGGCAGCAAAAATCACACCCTGCTGTGGATCTTCTTGTATACATACTTCTAAATGAGCTTGCCACCTCCTATTTATGCAGAAGTCCCAAGATAGGAGTGACAGCGGTCTGAAATAAGGTGAGTTTTTGTTAGGCTTTACAGGCTGATAAATCCATTTTTCCTTGCTTCTTCCACGTAAGGGCTGTAATTCCATATTGCCCAATGCCAGCTTTGGAGCAGTCCTTTTGGAGCCCAGTGGCAGCATTGGCCTTCCCATAGACACAGATAGCTAAAAGCCACCACATGGAAGGTCAGAGGCCAATGGATTTGTTGAGTGGGTGCTTATCAGAAGTGATGCACCTTAGAGAGTGTATCTGTTGCAGCTGTAAGTAGCATACTGTGAAGTAAATTCCCATGGAGGCGGCCAAACACCTCCTTGCTGGGCTAAGGACCTATCATGATATCAATATGTGTAACAATAATAAATGACTTGAGATGGCCAAATAATGGATCCTTCTGTCTGACCTGCCAATTCAGAGACATGTTCATCACCTAAAAGCAACAGAAGAATTGGGCTCCTGTATCATAAATTTTCCTAAACACGCTAGAAAGCTGAGAAGTAGATTTTGTGCTGTGAACCTGTTTGAGCTTTTAAAGCCAGAGATAAATTATTTCCACACACAAGCATTAGAGCCAAACATCTGTGAGTAATTAAAAAAATCACTGAAGAATTTGGCTGTGATTGAGAGAGGCATCTCCAATAGCATGAATAGCTCTTTACAAGCCCACTGACTTGCCCGTGTAAATCTTGAGACAAGAATGATGTCATTGGAAGTGATACAAGGGATCAGTGAGCTAGATGGGATGGGGAGCTGTTAGTTTTGGAGTTAGCAGGCTTTCTCACCAATCGAACTGCAAAGAATGAGCAGCCAGATAAGCTGGAAGGCTGTGAGTATCTGAATCCCCCATGCTCATAGTGGGCCTATAGCATCAAAGTCTAAGCAAGGTTCACATGCAGAGTATACCAGGAGTGTTGAATGGTGAGACTGAAGGACATTGAAGCAGAGGAACCTTTGATGTAAGGTGGCACACACATGGTGAAGTAGAAGTGGTCTTTCTAGGACATGAATAGGAGGGAAGCAGATAGTGTCTAAGAAACTAGGGTATTGTCAGTAGTTAAAAGCAACAAATGCTGCTTCTTCAGGAGCTATGATGAGCTACAGTGTCTGGCTGGTCATCCCCTGGTTTTGGTCAGTTGATGGACAACACCTCTTACTTCTTCCTGTCCTGCCTCAAGGTGCTGGTCCTGAGTCCATGGCTGAATCAGGGGGTGAGGAAAGGGGACTGGCTTATTATTTGCATGATCCAAAATTATCATCTCTGTACTGGGGCACAGTAATGGGAGTGGGCAGAGCTCCCTTATGTCTTTGCTAAAATGTACATGTGTGGCTTCACTCATGTGCAAAAGCAGATTAGGGTAGATTGGGGGTTTGGTCAGCACAGTAACATGAGGAATTTCTAAAGGGAATTCAGCAAAATGGCTCTTGACAATAGGGACTTCAGCATGGGAGAAATTTACCTGGAGAGAGAGGCTAGAAAATGGGGAGCCATCCTGAGAGACACTTTCATCACTGACTCCTTGGATGACACCAGACCTCTTCTCTGGTACCTTACTCAGCTTGATCTACCACCGCTTGAATGAAAGGTGCTTTGACATTTTACACTCATTACTGTGTTGCTGGCAATAAGATAGATAAGGGTCTTCCCAAACAAGTCCCTTATTTGTGACACTTGATTTTTCTCCCAGTTCAATTGCAGATGGCCTTAAGTATGCAGGGTTTATCAGCTCAAAGGCATTCATGTTCCAAGGGGCACTGCAGACATACAGTTTATGATGATGGCTTGTAATTTTTAAAGCTGCTTGTTTGTGTGTAGGAAACAAGATGCAGTTCCTGTCTAAAGGAGCTGAGTGGATGATTCAGAAACTTGCAATAGGTACTAGTTAAACAGCCCAGCTAGAGGAGCTGCAGAGCAGGTAAGAAAGGTATCTCAGACATCACTGGTAATTGGAGGTGTTCAGAATCCTGTAGAGCGTGGTCAGAACTGTTACATGAGATCAGATACTACTGTAGTTGAATTGGTGTATTATCCTTGTGTACATTGATGCTGTCCTGTGGAAGAGGCTGATAGATGGAATTACCTCCCTTGTGCTCATCAAAAAAGCAAAGTCCTCGCTTCAGCTGCTTTCATTTTTACTTCTTTTCTGAGATTTGTGTGATATATTCTCCTTCTTTTCCCAAGATGTTGCCTGACCTAACCCATGTGTTTCTGTTTCAGGTCCCCAGGATCTACTGGGATCTCTCAACAAGGCGTGTCCTTCTCATGGAGTTTATGGAAGGGGGACAAGTGAATGACAGGGCCTATATGGAGAGGAATGGCATCAATGTCAATGAGGTAGTTTCTCAGCCATCTCTGAATTTAGTGTAAAACTGATTTTGACCTTGATGCAGAATGGAGGCTGACAGGACAGGATGGGACAGGGTAGAAGAATAAGCACACACAGAGCAGTCAGTCTGAGAGATCTCTGTTCTTCTGCTCTTTGGAAAAGTAGATAATTCCTTTTGAGGAACACTCTCCTGTAGGCTGTAGAGCTAGGGAGATCTTCAGAGAGACATAGTGAAAGATGACCATGCTCTTACATTAAAGACACCCATGGTTTGTTCCAAGATGGAAGTTCCTGTTACCCTAAAGGAACAACTTCAGTTTCTGATTATTTTTATCTCATGGACTTAGCCATTAAGAGAGCCTTGAAAAGTTCTGTCTGTAGCAAAACATGGTCAGCTCCATTCATCTGGACAAGTCAGCTGGTCCAAAGTGAGAGAGTTGTTTCTTTGAGAGAGTTTATCCTATACTTCTGCTATAGGCAGAGGTGAAATCTAGCCCACACACTCAGATAGAAGAGTGAATATTCCTCAAGTCTCGAGACAGTCGCAAGCCCCTTGAGAAGGGCTTGTTTTGATGGATTAATAGAAGGGCTCTTGAGCAATATGTACATTTAGAGAGAAACGGCTAATTTCAGTTTTTCTAACTTGCAGAGGCTTTTGCTTGTGATAGGAGCAATATAGAGTGAAAATATCTGCTAAATTTTTTGTTTATCCGTGCCTTTGGGAAGGTTGTTTCATGATGACTTGGCACAATACATTCCATGCAGCAGTGAAGTCCCATACTTTCCTGAGTCTGAGCTGGTCTCTAAATAATAGCTAAGAAGAAATTTTTGAAAAGTTGTCTGTCGGCTTCTTCTACTGCAATGTATAAGTTTCAGAGAATTGCAGACATCTGACAGATAGGGGATGCTACTAAGCTCAGTTGTAGGACTGAATTTTCTTCCTTTTCTCTCCCCACTGTCTGAAGTTGAAGATTAACTTTGACTGATTGCCAACAAAGCAATGTAGAAAGGAGGAAATACTGAGCCTGTCAGAATCATATGATGGGAAAGGAGGTCTGTTATTATGGCCGCAGTAAGATGAGGTAGGGGCAGTGCACACCCCAAACTTCTCCTGCGGCAAGGTGCAGCAGATGGGGAGAAATATTGCCTAGGTTAATTATTGGCTGCTGCTGTTGTTGCCCTGGGTAAAGGACTGCACGGCATGGTGGGGAGATGGGCAAAAGGCGGCAGACAATGAAAGGAGCGTGAGGAGGGGTGGCAACCCATGTTTCAAAACTGTGACCTGGCTTATAATATGACAGCAATCTTGGCTTTCAAGAGATGCATTAGCTCCCTACACATCCCCCAAATATATTTATTTTATCAATCCCTCTATCATTTTCCTCCATTTTGTTTTATGGTGTGGAGGAAGAACAGTCTTCACAGAGCAGGGTTTCTTTTTTGTGACAATGCAGCCTTGAAAAGCAAGCTGAGCCTCTCTCCTCTAAATGGAAAGGATCCCTGAGGTGAAAGCTCCCTTCAAACCAGGTTACTGACATTTACTTAATACCGTCTGTAGCAGGATTATCATTAAAGCTGCCCAAAAGCACATTAATCTCTCTGGATCCGTCCAAGTGCTGGATTGTAATGGCATTTAATCAGAGAAGGCTTTGATTTCTAAAGACAAGTGCAAACATTGAAATATCTGCCTGTGGAACAGTTACTTATTCATGTACAAGTGTACTTGTACACTGTAGTGTAGTTGAGGAGGAACATGCAGCTAGGATATTGTCAGTGAAAGGGAAATCTGGAGAGGGGAGTTACCAAGAATGAGCTAGCAGGAATTTTAAGGGAAGACTAGAACATGGCAGAGCTAAGAAGGGGGGCAGCTGGAAACTGGGCTTTTCCTCTATTAAAACACAGTAATGCTTGCAGTCTTAGTTGGGAAGGTATATTTGGAAGAAGTGGGTAGAACAGGGAAGAGAGAAAAATTAGACTGTGGGGCTCTCAAGGGGTTTGTAGCATAGTATATACAGGAGGAAAGGAAGGGCAGTGAGACTGCTTAGAGCATGGATTTTTAAAGATCCCAAATGACACAAATGTTCCTTTTGCATCTCTTCTGATTGTACCTGATTAATTTAGAGAGATCTTATTTGTATACAAATCTTAACATTGTCTTTGGTCTGCCACATGGATTCTCCATTCCTTCTTTGTGAGTTCTCTGCCTGTCTCTGCAGAGACTGCTGTATCAGCAGGCTCTAGGACCTGTGGAGCTTCCAGATGTGCTCATGGCATGTGCTGTATTGCCTCAAACTAACCAGCCAGGTCAGGTAGCCAAGAGTCCCTATGATCAGCCTGATTTGGATTTGAGTCAAGGAAAAGAAACAATGCCCTGTACTTCAGCTCACCAAGAGCCTGGTCATGAGGCATGGTTGATTCAGAAGTCAGAAAAGTGTTTTGTCCAGCTGAGAACTGAAAGCAAACAACTAAGGTACTTAAGATGAGCTACTGTGTGCAATTATTGCCATCTGTTACTCCATCCTACTATGGCTTTTTACTTCTTTCTGTTACTAAATGGGTTCTACACTGAAACTGTATCTCTTAGCTTGATAAAGAGCCCAGTACCTTCCTGTAGCTGACAGCTTTGCAACTTGAAATACACTTTCAATGTGGCATTTACCCTTCTGCCAAGAGTCAGGAGCTGTAGCTGTGTAGCTGCTAAAATTTAAGTGGGATTTCCCAGGGTGGGATCCTTTTGTTAGCAGTGGAAACCTGTCATGTCTCAAGTATTTGCGCTGATAACACTCAAGTGTTAGATGAAGCTGAGCGTGGAGAAGAACACTGTTTCTGGGGAAGATGGCTATTCTTGCTCTCTGCACTTACTGAGTTAGTCTGGGGAGAAGTTCATTTGCGATTGTCCTACGTTTCATCTTGTCTGAAGCTTAGTGAAATTCAGAAGGCACTGATAAGTAAAAGTAGTGACCTCCAGTATTTTCAGCTTTTGAACTGGGCACAGACACCTGATAAAAGAGTTAAATTAGACACTGACCTGTTTCTTACTGAAAGTTGGTATTGAGCATCAATGTCAATCAATTGCTTAAGTCTCAACAAGATGCTTTACATTAAATCAAGGAAATGCAACTGCGTTTAAAGCCAAGGGAAATGATCCCCATGGTCATTTTGTGTCTGACAGAGATGCAAGAAACAAAAAAAAAATAATAACTAGTCTTCTTTAGCTGTGTCCTTTTGAGAATCTGTGCAAACTTGATGAGTTAGTCCCTCAGTTCCTTGGGTGGATGAGTCAGAACATTTCTCTCCACTTACATGCCATGGAAGATGGAGCATTGAGCATGAAAATAATTTCCTGAGTTCCCAACAGAGAGTACAGGGCATACTAGGAGTGCACTCCAGGAGTCCTAAAAACTATTCCTGTATCTTAATGACATCAGGTGTGTTCAGACATCATATTGCTGTGATGCTAGATCACTGCATAGTAATAGTACTGCCTAACAGAGCACTTTTGAGCCTCACGACTGGATGATAGAGGACAGAGTGTGAAATAAGATCTCTTGTGTGACCACCCTCTTACTGTGGATAAGAGCTATTTCAGAGCAGAGGCAGAGAAGATTTCAAATTGTGGCTATTCTCTGCCCACACCCTTTGCTAATTTGACACCAGTTTAATTGGGCAGAATTGCCCTAGCAGGATTAAGCAAAACCTTAGACGATGGCTGTAATAACAACAATGAAAGCAAGCAAAAACCCAATACAGTCTTCAATCCAATTAACCTTCGATTAAGGTTCCAAAATCAATGCTATTATTTTGGCCGGAGGAGGTAATATTGAGCCCTGAGAAATGAGCTGCACAACGACCTTTACTTTTAATGAGATCAATAGAAGTTAGTGTCGCCATCTCTTAAAATAATTGGCAAATATTACAGCCAAATTAAGGCTAGAGACTAGTATCTGCTTCTGATCTAAAGAGACAGTCACAGATGGAGGTGGGATGGGAAGGGATGATGCCCTATCAGGCAGTTTCATCTAGGACTTATCAGGGGCAAGCAGTGATGTCATCTCTACAGGACCATGACACAGTATTTTTTTCTGTGCTTTTCTTCTTCATGTCAGTTAGAGGCATGGAGCCAGAACCATTCCAGCTTGTTCACAAGTCCAGGAAAGTATCAGTGACTTTCCCCAGAAAACCCAGGCTGGTTTGTTACATTGCACTATATCATGCTACCCATGAGCACGATGTATGTGCTTTTTACTGTAGGAACACTCACAAGCTCAAATTTGCATACATTTTTTCTTTTCTGAGAGGTTTTTTGCTAACTCTTGTGTATTGGTATTTTTAAAGATACTCAGTTGTGATGAACTTTCTAGAGTTTTGTTACTGTCACGTTGCTTTGTCAGCAGGTGTGTTGATTAGCTGCGTACAAGGGCAAGGGCGGCAGGTTGTCTAGGTTTTCAAAACTGATGGCAGCAACATATTGTGTCCGGGTACATACATATACAAGAAGAAATATATCACTGCTAGTACCTGCACTACAGCTTGGGATCCTCCAAGTTAGGTGACAGAAATGCAGTTAGGTGTACTTGTTAAAATATTTGGTACACTGCACATGACTCCATTAACTAGAAAACATGGGGATTAGTAGGGAAATTGCAAAGTAGGTGAGAAACTCATAGAGGTAATGGTCGAGAGAGGTTACCACAGTGGAGTTTTGTGAATTTGTTTTTCAAATAGATTTCATTTAACAAACTGATGATGACCTCAACACAAACACAACTGTATCAAGGAGATTGTTGATGACACCAAGCTGAGAGGTCTGACATTGTAGAGGAGGACTGGAGTAGCAATAGCACTTGTTGGCCTTGAGAACTAAAGTGGTAAGCATCCTGTAGAAAATGGGGCATATTTCTGCTGTTTATTATGCTGTTTCATATCTGACTGGTGGACACATTGGGGTAGTAAATACTGGAGAGGAACAGAACTAGTTAAACTCTAGGATTGTGCTAGTTAAGGAAATTATTTATGAACATATTAAAGTTAGGCTGGGGTTTATGGGAAACATTCTGATCACCTAAAAGTAAATTTTTGAAACAGCTGCCAAAGTTATACTTTGTCTAAAATATTTCTGGTGAACTTGACCAGTTTATAGAAGTATTGTGTGATGCTGTACAGTAACAACCCTTAATGTTTGCACTGCGTTCTTATTTTCTTCTGTATTTGTTTGTAACTCACATACGATAGTTTGTGACATGTAACATCCTTGCCAGACTGAGTAGGTAAAGGGCACTTCATGCGCTTAGATTGGTGAAGAGTTACTCCCAAGTCTGGCTGTTTTACTTGTGTCTGTCACTCCATTGTGTCAGCAATCTGTTTATTTCTCAAGTCTGTTTTTTTCCAAAATGAAAACATTGGGCTGAGAATGTGAGGTTTGCCTGACATGGTGTCGTGGTCATGTCACATAATTTGGCAATGGCAGATTGGTATTTGCATTGATTGGTAAGGCCACAGGCTCACTTGGTGACTGTAGTCATATCATGTTCTGCTACAGCACAGACAGGGAAATATAACTTCTTTTAGGCACTAACACACCTTCTGGCAATAGGCAGGGACATGTCTCTGGCCAGACCCAGACTCTGATGTCATCCTGATATATCAAGCTAAGCTCTGCCTGCTGATCAGTGTAGGTTTTGTTCTTATATGTTACCCTAAATTATGCCATTCATGATTACACCCGCTTTTGCCTGGTTTTATTTCTTGTAGTACATACAGAACTACAGGTGCTTCTACTTCTTTGCTATTCAAACCTCCTAACTGGTAGACTTTCCTCCTCTGCCATTCTTTAGCCAACTTTGGGGTCTTCAGCTCTTTTAATTTTTTTTTTCCCCAGTAAATGCCTCCTGCATCCTGCTCATTTATTTGCTTTCTCTGAACTCCCTCTGTGTAGTCTGCACCTCTTGAGTTAATGAGGTGTCTAGAAGTGAATGCAGAATTCCAAGACTGATTATTTTTTTTACAGTATGCACCAGAACAATGCTGAGGGATACCGGTAATGACAAAGACCTTGTTTTGTTGGATGATAAACAGAGAAAGGACTGATGACCTCTCTGTGTCATAACAAAAAGCCTTTATGTTAACCATGGTTTTTGCATCTGTAAATCATTGCAACCTTTTTTCCTAATTTGTGATGCACCTTCACCCTGAGGTCTTACATAGCCTAAATGCATGCTGAATTCCTCCCTTCTCCTGAGCAGAGGTTTTCATAAGTCTGTTTTCTCATTTCACTTAGCTGTATTCTTCCAGAGTGAATTCTGTAGATATTATTTATCCAGTGGCCTTCTCAATAAGGAATAAGGGCCTGAAGTGACAAGGCACAGTACAGAAGAATTAATGTATATAAGGGTTTCATGTTTTTTTCCTAAACTTTTTCTCAAGAAATCTGAACTGCCTTTGTCTGAATTACAATGATAGGTTGCTAGTCACATACTACACTTTAAGACCTAGAGTGTAAAGCTTCCTATTTTGTTTAGAATTTGACAGTATTGTTGCTTTCTATCTTAATTTATTTTGTATCCTATTTTAGAGGTATGACAACAGACAAAATTATGTGAAAATACTTTAGTGTGCATCACAGCTCCATGGTAAATTTTTTCCAAAAGTGAAGACTGTTTATATGCTTGCACCATAAATCCCTGTAACATATCTTCTGTATGCTAATGAAGTAGTACATAATACATTCATATGTCTTAAAAAAGTCATAAAGTTTAGTTGAAGATACTGGAGATGCTCAAGGTTGCATGTTGGGGAATAGGTAAATATAAGTAAAGCAGGGAAGAGAGAGAGATGATGGGGATCTTGCAGTGAACAAATCTTCTACCAATGACCCAACCTGTGAGTCTGAACAGGGCTCGTTTTCATGGGAGGGTGGGAAGATGGAACTCAGGCTGCTTTTGTGTTGCATTACAGGTTGCAAGAGGCTATGACCATAGGTCTATTTAGTCACCTTTCTGCTGATAGTGGCTTAGGATCGGGGACCTTCTCTGCATCTGGAGCTTGCAGCCATATCATAAGATGCTGTTAATGAGAGTGGCATGGATAACCTGGTGAGAGGCGTTTTTGTAGGATCCTAGGATATTTGGGTTTGGAAAGGAACCTCAGGAGGGCTTTCATCAAATCTCCTTCTAAGGCAGGGTCAGTTATGAGGTCAGACCAGCATTGCACAACCTCTTCAGCTATGACCAATCAATAGGTTTGTAGAACTACCAACCCTTGTCTGGACTTGTCCTCAGCAGGAATGAGGCATCATGTTGGGCCCCAGATTGTCCCCAAGTCCTCATCTTCAATAATTCTGTGCTTTTCCATGCCCTTGGAGGACAAACAGCTGTGACAGTGAGGGCCGAGTGTGGTTAGCCTGGCGTGTGCACAGTGAGTCCCTGGTCCCTGGGAGGCTTTGTGAGTGAATGCTGTGATGGGCTTAAAACAGACTATTTGGCACATCCTTGGGCTGTTAATAGAGGCTACTCAGCTCTTATATGAGATCACAGCACCTGGTACTTTGGTTCTGTCTAATTTTAGAGCTTGCCGATCAAGGAGACTTGTAAGGGTCACTTCATGGCTCTGGTGATCTCTGCTGGTGATTCAGAAGGGAAACATCACTCCCCTCAGTCAGTACTTAAAATAACACCTGCATGGCGTTAGGGAAGCTGCACTACAGGAGATCACAGGGCTGTGCTGTTCCGTCCGTGTCGGTGATTCATCATGGGGCGAGCCAGCATTCATGTGATTCAGCAGTGGTTCCAGGTTCCACTTGAGGGAGAGGATTGTTTCACCTGATTCTACTGCTGTCTCTGTAGTTGTGCTGCAGGGAAGGTTCTTGTTCTTTCTCTTCATTTGTAGTTACTTGGCCACTATTCATAGTGAATACTCTTCTCAGAGGTGGCTATATTTCAGAGATGGGTAAAGGAAGCCCTTTCTTGTCTGTCTGGTTTTCTGCAGGATGAGCTGTCATTACTATCCCTGTTACCTCTTCTACCACCTCTGCTTATGGGGACAGCTGTCAGTTTGCTGCTTACAGAGTGTGTCTGGAGATATGCTTGGAATAGTTTAGAATGGCTGTCTTTTAATTGCTTGTACAGCATTCTGCTGTGGAGCACTGTGCCTCTCTGCAATGGCAGGGAGGGCTGGTGGAATGGCAGGGCAAGGCTGCTGTGTTGTTGCATGGCAGGGGGTTGATCCCATGCCCTGGGGATGTTTGCTTTCTCCTGGGAGGTTTCTAACATTAATAACACCTCTTGGTGATAAGGAGCAGTATTATGGAGGGACACAGCAGTGACAGGATGTTTTAAACAGCTTTTCCGTGCTTCTTCATCTTCACAGACATTGAACAGATTAGCATGGGTGTGAGGAAAGAAAGAGGGAAAGTGGCAGACAGTGTGATGGAGGGAGGGGAGAGGGAGCACATGTTCATTCTGGTGGGCAGATGGACTGGCTACGTCTCTCCCCACCCCTTCTCCACCATGTCCTGTTGCCATCCATGGATGGAAACCTGAGTCTTCTTCCAAGCAGTCTCACCCAACCCAGAAGCAATTTCCATGCCTTCCCTGTGAATGCATGTCCACCACTATCTGCTTTCCCTCCTCATTACCAGAAACCCCATTCCTACCCACAGGTACTGTCTCTTTTTTATGCCAGACAAGTGTCTTTAAACATCATGTGATCCCACAGCCACCTTCATGGTGATCCTTGCATGGATCCTTTCCTGAATGCCCTGGACCACCCTGCTACTGGTAGATGTCAGCAGCCACCCTGTGCCTCCATCAGTGTGAGGAGCTGCAGCAGCTCTGCATGGGAATATCAGCGTGTACAGACCCTTGCTTTCTGGGTTGTCACACAGAGGCTGCCTCCTCTCCCCGGCAGGCACCCTACTGTGGGTGGCAGTGTGTGACCATCTCTTGTCTCCTCGCAGATCTCTCGCAACCTGGGAAAGCTCTACAGTGAAATGATTTTTGTGAATGGCTTTGTGCATTGTGACCCACACCCAGGCAATGTGCTGGTGAAGAAGTGCCCAGCCTCTGGCAAGGCCCACATTATCCTCCTGGATCATGGGCTCTACCAGGTAAGTAGGTATGAGGGGCTTCCAGGGCCTTGTGAAGCTGCCTTTGGGCACCAGGCTGCAGTCTTGCCCCTCTAAGCACATATGAATACATTTTTCGTATTACTTCCATAGCCCTCCAATGATATATTTTGACTCTGAAGTGGAGGATGGGGCACAGGTGAGGGGTGCAAGACTTTTCCCCTGTTTCTTGTCCTCTATGGGCTTATGGGGACCATGTTTCCCTTCCCAGGTGCTGAGTGAGTCATTCCGCATGGACTACTGCCGGCTTTGGCAGGCCCTCATCAAGGCTGATATGAAGAGGGTGCAGAAGTACAGCCGGCGACTTGGGGCAGGGGATTTGTATCCTCTCTTTGCCTGCATGCTGACTGCCAGATCTTGGGAATCTGTCAACAGGGGCATTGACCAGTCACCAGTCTCTGCCAGTGAGGTAGGTCTTGTGTGTCCTTCCCTAATGTGTGCCCTTGCTTCTCCTCAGTACCTTTCTTTGTTGAAATCACTTGCGCCACTGATAGTACAGCAGTGCTGGGCAACCCCTGGCAGCTCTGTAGCAATTTCTGCATTGATACCTGAGCTAGAAAAAGCCCGTACTCCTTCTGCAATGTGTTTTATAGTGGCTGAATTTAATTTCCCAGATTCACTTGTCATGGGCTGCTTAAATTTTGTATAATATTTTAATACCTAAGTGTTCACTCTTTCTGGCTGGGGAAACATTTGTAGATTGTCCTTTTCTTAAAAAAATGTTGAATGCAGCTGTGCAGGAAACCATCAAGGAGGCTAGGATAAGGTACAGGAGACATAAAGGTTTAGTGGGAAGACATGAGAAGAATAATGCATTATCACTATTCATATAAATGACTATCAGCACTGATATAAACTCCTAAAAACTTCTGGAAATTACCTTCCAATCAAAAACCCTATTAACTTGGAGTCAAGGTTGCTTAGCTGCAGATCCTGTCATCTCAATCACTACAAATCTGGGAAACTGCTGCTTACATTTTCCACCCTTTCATACACACACGTTCTGGGATCCTTCTCATGCCTCCTCGCACACCTGACATACACAATACCTCACCTTAAGAATACTAGCAGCCCTGCCAACTGTGCTGTTTCTAGAGAAGAACATAAAGTGATGTAATTCAGCCAATGGACAAGTGTCTGTAAGTAGAAGTGTGTTGTATCCTATGGTTTGCTTTTATCTACACACATCTGTAGTAGAGAGGATGAAATTCATTTAAGGAGTGTTATAATATTGCCCTATGAAATTCTCATCTAAAAGTTTCTTCATCTTGATGGATGTGTCAGAATTTGCTGTACTGGCTTGCCATTATCCATAGCAATGAGTAGGTCATTGGGTAATGGACCCCCTCCCAATTATCTGAGTTAATTTTCTGCACATCAGAAATAATATAATGACTATCTAACAGTCATTAGAAGTCTGTGCTTCATCTGGTGAGTTCTGGAGCTGGTAGCTCCAGAAAAAAATTCAGAGCTGCCAAAGCAAGTTGGCACAGTGCTGACTCCAATACTACAAGGCCAGTGTTAAATCTGAGTTAGTGAGCAATGTTTATTCCCAACTCACTTGTGAAGGTTATGCCAGAGGTGTAGCTGCAGCTGCATAGTACTCTGTGTGTGCTAATGAACTTTGTCATCGAGTTGAATTGCGTGTATGGAACCAGCTCTGTTGTCTTTGCCTACATGACACAATTAATGCTGAAACTAGATAATCCTGCAGCAGATAATGGGGAGCTGAGCAGATTTGCAGTGGCATTAGGAAATGAGATGCTGCTTGCCCTTACTTTAGAGGTGAATTTGAAAGATTTTATCAGCAAAAGCTGAGCGCTGTGTAGGCAGGTACCATCAATGCAGAGCTCCAGAGAGTGTGCCTGAGGATGTATCAACATGACAGTAGCCTGTGAGACAAGGAAGTAACCTTCCTGAAACAAAATCTTATCTGTAGTGTTGTACTCAGTCTGGGATGCAGCATCTTGAGAAAGGTTTGATGAAACTGGAGCAAGTCCAATAGGAATCTGCAAGGACTAGTGGCCAAACAGATGTAGCCCATGAGGTAAGTCTGAGCAAGTTAGGTCAGAAAAAAATCTAGAAAAGGCAGGTCAGAAAGGGTTGTAGAAGTGATTTTTTGGTTTTTTTGAAGAGTGCTGCAAGCAGGACAAGTGCAATGAATTTAAACATGGGTTTAAATTCAGCTAAACATGAGAAAAGCCAGATCTAGTGGCAAAGCAGTGAAATGCCACTGCAGATGGTCTGGGGAGGTTTTGATTCGTGTTACTGGAGAGTTTTAGGTGCAGTCTGGGAAAATGTAGGAGGATTGCCATAGGTATAGTTGTTCCTGCCTTAAGCCATCCAGGGCCAGGCATCTGATCGCTCAGCGTGGCTGCTAGCCTCATCTCATCTGATTTTATGATGGCTTTTGCTGCATCCTGCAGCAGCCTCAGCAGCTGCAGCCAAGGGGCTTTTCTCAGGTCCTGTGGCATAGCTTATTTCTTCCTCTGCACACTTGACAGAAAATGACAGTTCTGATGACAGATCATGTGGTTGTTTTGTGATGTGGACAAGCAGCTGGAGCTAAAAATAAAAAGAAAAGAAATAGAAAAGAAAACCTATGTCTGGAAAATAATATAGGCAACGATGCTGGCTGGGAAAAGGGATAAGAGATAATCAGGGAGCAATTTTCTGCCAACATCTAATGAAACAAAACAACATTTAGGAGTGCTAAGCATCTTCTTGCTGAAGCCTTGTGTATCTGGTCAGTGATGGAGGCAGGAGGACACAAGGATTTGTTTGTCAGCAGCAAAGCAACATGGTGTTGTGTGAGCTGTGTACATCTCTGACCATCATGACCTGCACACCAGTTTGTGCAGGTCTGTTCCTTTATAATAAGTTTGAAGTTCATAAAGAGTGAGTGTGAGATCTCACGTCACGAAATATAGGCCATCCTTCGTTCAGAAGAGAGAAGGCTTAAGAGCTGTCATTTCCCACAAAGAAGCCTCCTTACTGTAAGAAGTTATTTACTGCCCCCTTGCATGTGTTCTCCTGGATTTTGTAGATTGCAGATATTCCAGGGCCTTGTCTTTGGATTTCATGTCATGGTTCATGTCATGGCCTCTGTAGGAGGGGGTAGGGGCATGGTATGCATATGGGATCAGCTCCCAGCTACACTGTGCTACATTTACTGGGATGGTGAGGGAACTCTCAGATCTAAAAACAGGAATAAGAAGCAGGGCTGACTGTCTTGCATGCTCTGGTGACTTGTATTTGGAGAGGAGCTCAGTTAAGTGGCTCAGACTGTAGCCCCTAAGTTTTCACTGGGTTCTTACAGTAAGCAATGTGTTTGTTTGAATCTGGAGAACTAGAGATAATGAAGGATTGCCTTGGACTTACACTCTTTCCTTAATTATCTGCTATGAGCTGCTGTCATACAGGATATAGATCTAGATCTGACAGATGACAATTTGAGGATTTTTGATCTTTTGGGTTATCATGATGCTTAACTGTGTAATTCTTTCTCACCTTTGCTGAATTGTGTTGAGGACAGAGGACTAAACTAGCATTGGAAACGGCTTCACCAGTATAGCATAGAGCCGTCAGCTGCATGGAGAAACAAAGATCAAGCAGCCTGGTTGTCTTTGCAGCCTCCACCTTCCTCAGCAATTCTACTACCTGCACCTCTGCCGGTTTTGGGGCTGGTGAGGTGAGAAGTCTCTAACGGCAGTAATGACATCTGGTTGCTGCAGGCTGCCTAGGACCAAGAACCAAGGTAGCAGTGTCTGTTCTCCTGAGAGGCTATTAATCCTGCCAGTGAGGGGATAGGTCCTTATCTCACCGAGGGGAAAATGGGATCTGGCAAGAGTGATCTGTGCGGTGAGTGCTGTGCCCAGTGTCTGCAGGAAAGAAGGACAGAGCTCTTAGGTTCTGTCCTAGTGTCATGGTCTGTTAAAACACTGTCTCTTCCTGGCAAATCTCAGCTGCATCTGGACCCAGATTTCCCATGTACTCTCACCTTCTCTCTCCTTTCTCCCTGACATGACCTGACTGGCCACAGGACATGGAGATCCGGTCCAACGCTGCCACTTACTTGCCCCAGATCACCCAGCTCCTCAACAACGTTCCCCGCCAGATGCTGCTTCTGCTGAAGACCAATGACTTGTTAAGGGGGATTGAGTCAGCCCTGCACACACGGGCCAGTGCCAGCTCCTTCCTCAATATGTCTCGCTGCTGCATCAGAGCTGTTTCCACGTGAGTCTCTTATCCAGACATCAGAGGCCAGACAGGGAGCAGCAGGAGCTGACTATCCCTGTGGTCTGGGAGATGAGGGGAGATGAGGTACAGCAGGCTTGTCAGGATCCAGTCCCACTGCAGCTATGCAAGGCAAGCAGGACAGACCCTGAGATGAAGGTCAGATCCAATCAAAAGTCCACATGATTAGGCAACATCCTGGTGATGGGGCAGGTCTAAGAACAAATGAGAAAGTCAGTCTAGATTATGTCTGGTGGTTGTCAAGCAGGTCCATGGTGACAAGACAGGGCTGAGATCAAGCAAAGAGGTCCATGTGGAGGTCTAGCTCATGGGGCTTCACAGCAGGACATGAGCTGGGGACCATTACTCTTCCAGTGTAGCTCAGGCAGGAACTGAAGGTGCACATCTGAGATTAACTGAGGTTTCTGGGCCTATGAGCAGAGGGTTGGGGGTGGTTCCAGGCTAGTCAGGGCCATTAAGACTTATTAGGGCCCCACTCAGGGGGGCTGATAAGGCTCTGACTTAACCTCTTGACCTATTACTGTTAGCTGTGGATCTCTTCCCCACATTGTGGTCCTGCCCCTGCTCAGCTACATGTCTCAGCTGTTGTCTGTGCTTTTCTTACATCCATCAGCCTTTCCAGAGGACAAACCTGTCGCCCTGGGGCTGGGGACAGGGATAGAGTTGGAGACCTTAGGTTAAGGGTTTAGGATTTGTCCCCCAGAGGAGGGGAAGGGGCTTCTCTCCCATTATAGGCCTTACCACTGGGCAGTATTTGTGAGTAGCATAGATCTGAAAGTTCACTGCAGCTTGATTGAGGGAATTGGGCTGACTGAAGATCAGGCTGATGTTTAAAAGCCAGGAACAGGAGTTGTGCAAGTGCAAGTTGTGCAAGATTGCCTTCTCTGCATCTTAGGAATCAATGCACTTCTTCCTCAGATTCCTCCTCCTTGCAGATAAAATAACAGTTATTTCTTGGGCTGATGAGGGACCTATGAATCCCAGTTAGCCTCTGCTAAAGAAAGGTGGAGAAATACTTTTCCTGGAATCTGTGTGTCAGGATTGCTGGACTCTTACAAGTGCGCTACCAGGAAAAGCAATAGTAGTGTGCACCTGTCCCTGTGAACTGAGGTGAAGCTGGGCATAGAAGCAGAGGAATGCCATAACCCAGGATCACTACGTAGAGTGGTAAGAGAACTGAACTCTCAAGTGAGCAGGCTGTCTCTTCTGCCAGATTCATTCCAAAAAAGGCAGTCCCCAGCTCCTCAGTAGCACTGCTTAGAGAAAATCCCTGCTTCCTGAGGATTCTCCATATGGGGGATAGCGCCCACCCCTGGGGAGGGTCAGCTGTGTGGAAGATGTAGGACAGGCCTCTTTCTTCCTGGGCTGTTTCCTGCTGGATCTAATGCAGCTGCTTCTCTCATTCTAGGTACCAGAGGAGCAAGAGTCACTCGCTTTACAGGAGGGCCCAGATCTCATTCACAGAAGCCCTAAGCCTGTGGCAGATCAACTTATATGAACTCTTCCTGTGGCTGAAGGGGTCCCAGCTGGGGAACTGGGTCACTGCTCTCCTGAGACGGATGCACCATTTAATGTACTGACATGAACTGGTGGGAGAGGCCTGGGTGCTCCCTCCCTCCCTTCTGTTCTCCATGGCACATCTGCCTTTTTGACTATTTCTGTCTATTTTTGGGTCTTACTCCACATTACACACTGCACTGTCCTTTTCTTTTACAGCATTAGCTTCCCCTGTGGCACAGAGAGGTTGAGTTGGTACCAGAGCCCTACTGTTTTGTGGTTTAGGTAAAGTAAGTGCATGATACTTGTGGCAGGAAGGACAGAAAAGAATACCTTCTTTCCTCATTTGTGCAGGTTAAGTTCCACTCAGATTCTAGTGGGACTGTGCTGGAAGCAAATGCCTCTTTGACTCTTTCTTAAACAATCTTAAAGAATTTAAGAGAATCCCAGCCCTACTAGAATGCCCCAAAATATTTTTCAGACCCTCAGAGAGGGGTGGTAAGTCCCTTTAAAATACAATAGGGTTTATATTAATTTATGCAATCTCTTTAGTCTGATTTCTGTTTAGGTGTGCGGAAGGTTTCTCAGAGGAATGAGACCTTATGGAAAGCTGTCACTAGGGTTTTTTCTTCCAGCACCAGGGAAAGAGGACACAAATGGTGAGAGTGGTGGACTGGGAGTCTGACTTCCTAAGATGCATCTCCAGTCCTGTCAGCAAGTGCCTCTGTTTTTGGACTTCTCCTGGCCTGTTTCCTTGCAGGTGAAATGGGGGAAGGGGACAGTGATCTTGCCTCTCTTCTGAAATTCAGGAAAGACAGTAAGAAGGACAACTCAGGGCTCTGAAACTGCCGGGAATGTATGTGTACTGTACAAAACTATCACACAACAAAATAAATGTGTTGTATCAAAGACCTTTGGGGGAGGGATGCTTGGCTGTGCACTAGAGTTATGTTTGAGCCTCTAACCTTAGTCCTGTTTCCATTTCTCCACAAGGGAGTGATGCCAGGCAGTGCTGGTAATTCCTTGTAAGCAAAATGTCCACTTGGTCTTTTCTATATCCAAGAAGTTTGTACCACATCTGAGTCCTCTAGTACTGCATCAAATGTATGTTGGGATGGAATGGAGGAGCAGGCATCTTTCTGCTGGGAGGATATCTCATACCCTTCTGCCCAGATCCACACTGAGCCTGCCTCCTCCCTGCCTGTGGGAGTGCGCTACAGCACATCTGTGAGATGTCACCATCCCCATGCCACAGTGAACATTTCACCTTGTCACTGCCTGTGATGTTTTACTACTCCAGCCTCAGACAAAAACCTGCCATTGCTCAGTGGTGCAAGTGACAGATCTGATGGCTTTGACTCTGTAGTTGTGGGACAGCTACCAGAAAGCCTCACCTAGACGCCTGCTTGTGTGAGACGTATCTGAGATACTGGGAGACATCTCTGTTGCTTGTAAGAATACCTTTATCCAGGAAAGGTGGATGGAGGTGACTGCTCACATAATCTCAGCTTTCCTCATAAACTATCTTGGTGAAAGGGGACATGAAGGACAGGATGGGAATGTCCGTCTACTGTCAGAAAGCTTGCTAAACTGAGAATTACTCAGGAACCAAACTGTGCCTGAGGGCAAGCCACAAGAAGGCCATTCCCTCTCCCAGTTTCCATACAACTTCCCAATTTGCACAGGTGCAAGACCCCACCTTGAAGTGAGTTCAATTTCTTGGGAAGGGAAGCAGGGGACAGAGTGCAGGTTAAGTGTGTGTGAGTCCCTGGTGAATCAGTCATCTTTCTGGCTGTGTGGGAAGGGGAAGGAATGTAATCCAGAAAAGGTACCTGGTTACTGGTGGGCTTGGGCATGATGGGTTAGGGACTGCAGATGTGCATACAGTGACTGTGTACACGCACAAGCATGTAGGCAGAACTGGCTGGCTCAGGACTGCCAAGAAGTGGTAAGCCTAACGTCCTTGCAAAGCTTGTCCGCAACCCATGCAATGACAGGTTAGAGATTCCCTTGACTTCTGGGTCATATGATGGCATCAGGGACTGGAGTGGTGATAATTGCAGGATGAGACTCCTGAGTCAACAAAGAGTCACTGAAGCCCTGGAATACTGGTGCTGCATCCTGTACATGACTAATCATTGCTCATGTGAAAAGTCTGACTGAATTAGTGCCTTGCTCAGGCTCTTAGAGCTGGTAGGCTGGCCAGCATGGGTGGGCCTGATTTGTTCTCATTACAGGTAGAGCTCCTCTCAGAAAGCTGGACTGCTGTGCCTTGTTAAAGTCCAAGAGACCCTCTAGTAATGGCCACCAACTGCGTATCCTCATCTTGTAGATGCCTGTGCAAATGCCTTTGCCTGTTCATGGCAGGATACACTGACCATAGCACCGTTTGTGTTTCTCATCTGTAAGTGAAAGCTTATCCTACATTTAGGCCTTCATTTCTAGAGGATTCCGTGTTGTGGAGAGGCTCCCTGTAGCTGTCATTTGCATTGGCTGTTAAGCTCACAGCGTGCTCTCAGCCATGCATGTTCTTTCACTCCTTCAAAATCTTACCACATGACTGCTAGTTCTGCTACCTGAGGACGGTCCTGACTCTAAAAGTTGTAGGGAACCAGCAGCCCCTCGGACTGGTTTCTGGCAGTGTGCAGCAGGCAGAGAACAGGGAATATTTGGCAGAGCTTTGTCTATTGTCATTAGTCTCTGCTGGGAGGCTGTGTGTTGCAGTGTTAGCGGAGGGACTCCTCCATCCATTGTGCTCAGCTTTCACCCTTCCCACAGTCAATCGATGAAAGTTTGTCTTAAGAAAGAAGAAGCAAACACATGGACTTTGACCTTGTAACATTCCTGCCTTGTCTTTTTGCTGAAAGCACTCAAAGGTGAATGTGTTAACACAGTTTTGAAAAGACACTTCCTCATCCCAATTTGCAGTTGTCAAACATGGGTAGCCTGGATCAGGTCTGTGCATTTGGCCTCTCTTTCCCACCTGCATTTAATGGTGTTTTCACCACCAGCAAACACAGCTTCTGCTGCTTGGCTTGCAGGCAGCACATGGGCTGCTGTCTGCCCAGCTTTAGCTGTGAGCAAACTAAAGTTTGGTTCAGACACTAAATACTGGCCCTGGAGCCCACCAACTCTTTCTCAGGACTAATATGGGGGTTAGAGCTGTTGGCCAGAGGTGCAAAACTGATGGGCATCTTTCAGCTCCTGTAATAAACATGAAGTACTTTGTTGTAGCCTTATGGCATCACCAATCCTAATGCTCTCAGATGTGTTGGGAAACCAGTGGACATTTCATCTAGCATTTATATGTGCCATCATTATATCCACTGGAGGTGGAAAATGGGGCAGTCAGGGAAAATGCAGTTGCTGTGCAAAACTTCAAGAATCTCAGGTATGAAGTGGACTTGCTTTTGCACATGCAGCTGAAAAAAAGCCAGTCTGAACACCCTAGCCTTTGCCTAGCCCATCTAGTGAACACTATTGATGACAAATGGGTGGCATTTAGAGTCGCAGATCAAGGCTGCATGATGCTGTCTGCCATCTTGCCAGAGCACACAAACCTCATGCAGTTGCAGTGTAGAAGCTTCAGAATGAATCACACACTGCTTCCCACAGCATATATCTTATGAGCTGTGACATGTGTGCATCTTGTGCCATTCCACTGCATCACTTGGCAGGGCTCTTCCCCCACCTCCACTGTGCATCCCTGTGTCACCCTGTACTATTTCCTCTGCCCCCACACCCTGTGTCCAAAGGGGTATGGGCAGCCTGCTGGGTCCTGGAGCATGCAAGAAGCCGTCACACACAGCGGGCTGGGTCACAATGCCCAGCATTCAGATAGGAGCAAAAAGAGGGATGCCTGAAGTGATACAGCCCTCAGGACAGTTATTGCCTTATTCCTTTCATCCCCTGATAACTGAATGGCTAGGAAGAGGGGATGGATATTTCTTCCTCCTTGACTCCTCTCTAGAAGCGAGAGGCTGGGGCTGGCTTTTGCCCCTGCAGCCTAAACTCAGTCCATGCCCATCTCACCCAGGGTTTGTGCTTGTCTGGGTGATGGCAAGAAATCTGTATTGCAGCTTTCAAATGGCCCAGAGCAAACAAACAGCACTGAGATAAGAGGGGTGCAGGCTGGGGCCATGCAGTGTGCTAGGTGGGGGAATTTTCTGGTGCTGCTGAGCTGAAAGGTGGGAGGAATACTTCAGAGGATCCCAGTCCTCAGGATAAATCCAGGTCAGGTTGGGGCTGATGATTTTCAAGTAACCTGGATAGACATACCCTAAGGTGAAGTAGGGTGTATGGAGAAGAAGCAGTTGGAGTCTTTTCTTTGCTCATGACTTTCTTCTTGGTGTCCTCTGAAAAGCAGCAGAAGGGCTGCTCTCCTCATCAAAGAGCCATCTCCTGCCTACAGGCTCCAACAAAGGTCTTGTTTGCTGTAGGAATGCAGTATCTCCCAAGGAATTCTGCTTTCCTCTGCTGACCCTGCTTTGGGCTCCTAAGTCACATAACTGCAGCTTTGCACTTCGGGCAAGGCTGCAAGCAGCACTGGGGGCCAGGATCTCCAAAGTTTCCTAGGCGCCACCCTAGGCAGCGAGGTACCAGCAGCTGACATCTCTGAGGGCAAGCTGCTGCCACCACTCCATGTTCACTGCCTCCTGCCAAGTTGTGTGGAGAGAGCCTGCAAGACCCAAAGGCTTTCTGCTCCTTCCCCTTGGCAATCCTCAGTTTTGCTGGTTGGGGAGTGATTGCTGTTCTGCCCCTGTTGATGTGAGAGGACTTGGTCTCAGCTGCTTTGCTGCAGCACGGCAGTAGCCAGTGGCTAGCACAGTGTTGGCACTCCAGCCAGGCAGCAAACTGTTCTTCACAGAGCACTGGGAGGATGCATGTGATTCTGAGTGTTTGTAGCAATTAATTTTTCTAGTGAGTCCTGGGAGTTTGGAGATGGGAGGAGAGGTGAGGAAAGAGAAGGGGAAAGGAAAGGAAAGGAATGGAAAAAGGAAAGGGAAGGGCTGATCCTCTGTCATCTCCACGGAGGTGCCTGCAGGATGTGGATCATCCTCCTTCCTTCAGCATCTGCTCAGGT